ACCCACCCAAACCATCATGTTCAGATCTGCACAGCCTATACACATCACGGGCATTTCATCCTTACATTTGGTTTGTACCACCCTCACCAGAAAGGAGCCAAGGGAACACTTCTCCAGGTTCCAGCTTACTGTTTCAGTCTCACAGGATTTTCAGTCCATCGCTGCTGAGATGTGACCTCAGCCCTTATGACATCCTTGGCTTCTGGTATGTACATAATTTAAAAACTAGGAATATTGTGCTGTGTTTCATGATGCAAGTGATTTGAGAATTCAAGCCACATAATATTTTCAAAATATAATTAGTACGTACTTTTTTTAGTTGATCTTATAGGTATTTTCCAATGCAAATGATTCTACAACTAGTTGCAAGTCAGAAGGTGGTGTTACTTTTGAGCTCTCCTGATGAAACAGATTAAAAAATGCAACTCCATCAAGAAAGCAACACTTTGCATAAAGGATACCACTAGCAACATTTCTCAGAACAGTTTCCAGTCATACCAGCAATATCCATCCCTAAGTACTCCTCATCTGGCAGCATTTGGCTCAGGTGAGGGATTTAAGGCAGACCCCACTGCTCTGTGGAGGCTTTTGGCCCTCACACCACCAGCAGTGGCTGCCCCTGTGCAGTGGCAGCTTTCTCAGGACTTGGCCTTTCTCTACAGCAGAGCAGAACAGCACTGAAGCCCTGGAACCTTTTCCCTTACAGATGCTCCATAAAAATCTATTTTAAACAACTTAAATAAATTATTATAGCTATTTCTAAATAATAGGATAGCTACTTAAAAACCAGGAAAGGCAGAAGGCTTCCCTTCCATTAGCACACTGCAGTCAGGCCGGTGCATCCCAGCCCCAGCTTGGTCTCCACCCTGGCTGCTTGGTGTTGCTTTATGACCTGCCTCGATTGCACATCATCAGCCTGCAGCAGAAAGCCACAGACTGATCCCTTCCCAAGCTTACACCACCAATTTCAAACCCTCTTAATAAATCAATTTGAAAAATCAGACTTCTCTGCCTAGCAAAGGAACTCCTACATTCCTCAACATGAAACTCCACTGGGAGCAGAGAACAGGAACAAATGGTTTCCTTTTCCTAAGGAGGGGCCAGTTTAACTAGTGAAAAGGTAACTGGGAGCTCAGAAGGAAAATCCACCCATCTTGCTCTTATTCCAGGTGTTTAGGTAGAGCAATTGCTATGTGTGCATCACAGGAATGCAAGTGGATTGCAGCCACATCCTCCCTCTCCAGGTAAATCATTAACCTTCCAGATGACACCTCACAAACCAACTGACTGAACGATTCCAGGGTCAGTGTGAATCTACGTTTCCAAAACCTCACATCAACAAGTGAAGGCTGTGACTGAATCCTGGTCACTCCAAGAGGAAGATTAAATGCCTGTGACACATCATCTGCAATCAGAGTGCTCCTTTCCCCAAAGTATCCGTCACAGATTGATAACATCCACACAAAAAGTTAAGTGCAATTATGTCTGTCACTGTAAACCACACTTCGACAGCACTGACTGACATCCTGCTTGCAGCTGACAAACTCTGAGCGGGCTGCTTGAGTGACAGAGGCACAGCTCCTGCTGCACCCTGAGGAGGGGTGTGGGACGAGTCCCAAGGCACAGGAGCCAGCCGGGCTCACGGAGCACCACAGCAGGGATGCAGCCCCCACACAGGCAGCTGCAAGGCAAATGGCTCTGTGCACACTCACAGCAGCCAGGGACTTGCTGGAACCAGACTCCAAGAGGAGAACGTCACCCACAAATCCAACAGAGTCTGAGGCACGGCAGAGCTGAGCCCTGGGACCCTGCTCAGACAAACTGGATGCACAGCTGGTGAAGCACGAGTGTGCCCAAGGTAGGTGAGTTACCTGTAACCAGCACCTCCTTTGGGCAGGATTACTCCCTGCTCCCCAGAATGATGCTGCCATGCAGCACAAGCCTCGTGCACAGAGCAGAGGCACTGAGGGAAGTTACAGCAAGCTCCCTCATGTAACCCAAGCCCCCAAATCCATCCTTCAGCAGCAGGATGGGAACCTGCAAGAGCATTTCTTCAGACTGCCATTAGTGCCAAGAAGCTGTTCCAAGGGTTGGAGAGACAAGACAGCAAAGCAGCTTGATGCCCTGCACAATGCCATGCTCCATGGCACAGCATACCACCCTCACCAGGATGTGCCAGGGCTGCTGCTGGAGGCACGAAGCCAGACGCCTGGAGAAGAAAACACAAAGGAGAAGAAATGGCTGAAAAATACCATGTGAAGTGCAGAACAACTATCAAACAAAGCCTTCCCTTGTGCAGCCCTGACTGTGAGCCACAAGCCTGTGACATGTGTGGCAGAAGCAGCACTGCTGATGTGCACCAACCTGTGGAGGTCACACCTGATACATGACAACTCTGTGATGGCCACCATCCACTGCCATCAGCACCTTACACCACAGCAGAGGGGCTACTGCAGAAAAACATGTCCCACAGTAAAAAGTCCTTCCATTTTAGGTTTAGTTGCACATAGGGGTTTAGTTTATATCCAGGGTTAGCAATTGTTCTGAAGGCCCCTCTTGATTCAGAATTATTCTAAATGCAGACACAACAGAAGAGAGCAGCTGAGATACCTGAGCAGCCCAACAGCAGAACTCTCCACAGTGCTCTGTGCAGCACTGCTCACCAATGCAGCTGCACAACAACCCACTGCTATTCCTGTCAGGATATATCCACATGGAATAAACAGCAAACTGGCTGCCAGTGTAATCTCCTCTCTCTGTGGTGACATGAAAATAAGAGATCACTTGTGACTACAATCTTTCACAAACACTGTGTTGAGTAACTCACCACACTGCTGACAGTGTTAGAAAAGGCCTTCAAGTTGTCTGTGTTCCCTGTAATAATTAAGTATTTGCAGGATGCACCTTTATATACATTTCTATTTCTTAAAAAATATATTGGATAATAAATAACCAAAGTAAAAAAACAGACATGAAAGATGCTTTGAATGATCAGGCTGGTGGTGTAAAAGTTACCTGTAAATCACACACGGGGTGTGAGAGTGGAGCTGGCTACAGACAGGTGGGTTTTACTACAAGGCATTAATGTAACATTCAATTATTCCACTGCATACTGGCTGGTTTAACTCAGCCAAATTAGAATACATTTTATATTGACTATTTTGACATTTGCTTTATTTGGCAAGTAAAACAAAACTGATCCAATTTCCTTGCAGCCATTGTAAACCATAAACTGCACAACAAGAGGTTATAAAATATATAAGCCTTGTAAACACTTCTTTTCAGACTGTCACTGATGCTTTGAGCTCTAATTTTGGCCCTGTTCCCAACAGCTCTGACACTGCTCTGCAGCCTTCCCTGGTCAGCTATAAAGTGACCCTTCCACATTCAGTGATTAGGCACTGCCACTGACATTCTCTTGCTATGATAATTTTTTTTTTTCTTTATTGTGGAAATCTGCCCAGACAGAACTTCTTGCAGAAAGCAAATGAAGATCTGTGCTCTAAAATCAAGATGTCTTTCTCTCTGATCTCCCATGGCCTGGGCTGGCATCTAGCTTATGTCCAGCAGAGCTTCAGAACAACACTCAGGTCCTAGTGGGACAGGCTGGAACCTCCAGAAAACTGCTGGCTTTTCATCTCTTTTGCCTCCATCTCTGAGAAGCATGACAGCATGTCTGCCTGCAGCACACCCAACAGCACACGACAGCAAGCACTGTGCCAGGGCATGGCAGCCTACCAAGCAGAACTCTCAGTGAAAGAAACACCCAAATGCTTTGGAGAGCTCAAAGAGACACCACAGGACAGTGGATTTCAGTCTGGGTCACGGGTGAAGGCTCAAATGTCCACACCTGCCTTAAGGAGGTACCTGATAGCTTTCTGGGGAACATGTTGCAGCAGTTTAAAAGCGTAACTCTGAAATGACCTGTAAATCAGGACTCTAAAGGACATAAGCAATTTCCACCCATGTGATATAATGACCTTTGTACAGAAACTGCACCTTGGAACTCTTCTCTGCTGTCTCCTTTGAAATTCTAGCTCTCACTATTTACTGTAATACTGTAAAGGTATCTGCAGTGTAGAAAACGTCTAGTGCAAAAATACATGTACATGTGATAGGCAAAAGCACAAAGGGACCCGAGGAGAATGTGCTGTCCCCTGGCAACAGCCTGGCCCAGTCTATGAGCCTCGGCAGCAGGAGCACAATTCACACTGGGTGCTGTGCTTTCAGAGTGAATGTCAGGAGTGCAAAGTTCTCCGTTTCGTCACTGTCTGGGCTGGTTTGTTGCTTAACAACGCCTCTTTGTCCAGAGAAATCCAGCAAGTAAGCTGTCAGTACAGCACTACTGGTACATGAAAGTCTACACACTAGCACATCTGTTGATACACACACAGAAATATAGCCTGTAACACAGGGAGAACAGCCTGGACAGACACCGCTGCCCAGCACCGCGGCTCCCATCAGCCACCACAAGATGAGCAGGCTGCTGTGCACACTCATGTCAGCTGCATAACTGCAGCTCAGCAACTGGGTTCAAGAAAATAAAAAACCAAGAACCAGTACTTCAAACCATGAGCAGACTGATCCTGGAGATGAGCAAAACCCGTTTCCTTTCTGAAGTCTGTAGAGAAACTTCTCCCTCCCTCTGGTTAAGGAGAACAATCGGCCTGGCTGCAGCTCTGGCTCACCCTTCCAACACGTATGTGTTGGAAGCTACAACAACCCGCATAGTTTAAAGCAAAGGAAAGGTACAGTTTGCTCTTCCCCTCCTCTGCAGGCATTTCCTTTCTTCTGGCTTCTTCACCCATTTTTCTTTACACAACAACAGGCAAAGGAACTTCCAGCAGGCAAATACTTCAACCAACAGCACATTCCCTTATCAGATTGTGACACAATCGTTCCACGCCGATGCAGCACCCTGGTCTCGGTTTCCCAGGCAAGGTTAGTAACCACAGGACATGCAGCATCAAGCAGAAGGAGCTGGAATGCAGAAAACCTACCTTGGCAGGTTGGGAGCGGGCGTTGAAGCTGGTGCTTGGGCGGGAGGAGCCGCAGGCTGTGCGGAGTCGTGGTTGCGCGGCACTCTGCCCATCCGATACCAGATACCCATGCTGTTCAGCTCCCTGGAAACCAACACACAGCACCAGGGCTGATGCTGCACGCACGCACCAGCACCAGGCCCTGACGTGTTTCACCAACACCTTGGTCAGTGAGAACAAGGGTAATTAAAAAAAAGGAGGGGTGAGTTAACTCCTACGTCTAACTCAGTAACACTTGTTCTTACTTGGGACTTTTCTAATTATAAGCTTCACCTCTTACAAGCTACTACTTGGTAATTAGAGGAGCACAGGGCCCTTGCTTTGGTATAACTGCATTATTGTTATAACAGCTCTGGAGTGAGGGGTACTCACCCTATGAAGGTGTACTGAGGAGGGGCTTGCTTAGATCTGCCCAGGATCCGGATATCGCAGATCGCTGCCTCTGTAGAATCCCGAGGGATGAATTTAATGCACAGCCTCTTCTTTCTGAAAGCTACTTCTTCTGCAAAAACAACCCAGAATACAGGGTGGGTTTTATGCAAGATTAGAATATAAATGTTATTTATAATCTCTCCAGGTCCTAGGCAGGTAATTGTGGCAGAACTGGTGCCAAAGAACAGACATATGTCAACAAAACAGTCAGTGCAGTGCCATTCCAAGGGGAATGTTCTATCAGATGTGCTATTGGCACTGCAATAACCAGTTCTCCTCCTGCCTGCTGCAGAGATCAGCTCCCACGTGTGCCTGGTGCTGCCCCACAGCACAGAACAGCAGCTGACTCTGCCAGTTCCACATGTCTCTCACACTCCCTTGCTCTTTCCCAGGTAATGTTTGCCTCACTGGCCTGGACAGCCATATCTAAACATTCCTCCCACAAGCACTGCCTCTAGGAATGTACCTGGAAGCTTCTGATACAACCAGTCAGTTCATTCTGCTACGTGCTTCCAACCAGCCACTTCCAACCCTCTGTGAGGAGCAGGCAGAGCCTGCCATGCAGAGAGGTTGAGTGTAAGAGCTGTCTGTCCAAATCTCACACATCCCAAGTGTTAGTGACATATGATCAAGTCAGCAGGCACAGAAATGATACTCCCACCATGTTTGCCCTGGTTCTTTGCAAGGACAAACCAGACTCACAAAGCAGAACCTCCCAGGAGGCAGCAGTGCTGCTCTGACCTGTGCTCCGAGGGTGGATGAATGCACTGCACAGCCCTTTCTGCTACATGCCACAGGGCAATTGTTTCCATGTTATCCATCACGAAAAACTCAAGCCATCAGAGTTAAGGCTTATCTGTGTAATGAATTCACAGCTCTTCAGGCTGATTACCAGCATGCAGACACAATCCACAGCCAGTGCTGGTGCTGTCTGTGACCACAGACACACATTTGCAGTGCTAGGAAAACAATGCTCCACCTCACCCTAAGGAGTCTCAGGGCGAGCAAGGTGAGGCTCCTGCTTGGATGCAGGCACTTGGAAAGCAGGACAGACGTCTCCTGATATACTGAAAATCTAAAGAGCAGACGCTGAATGAAAATCTGGAAACAACCAGCAACTACAAACAAGTGCCTGCAAAATAAAAACCCTTCATCTTAATGTGAACAAATATCTCCCAACTTAAAATATGCTGTCACTTCACCAGATGGCAAGCAGCCCTGTCTCCATAGGCTCCTCCTGTTTCGTAATCCACACCTTGGGAAACAGCAATCCATTCCAGCCCCTGAAATGTGCTGCTGCACTAGCACAAATAACCATACAGACAGTGTGAGGTGTGCCAACAGAGCATCTGTGCATACAGCTTGCAGTTACAGTGGTGTTTTTAGAGATGGTAAATACCTGCGTCCCTGAAGTTCAGTCTTCCCCTGCTTTGAAAAAGTAGGGCTTCTGTTTGAAGTGCCTAAAACTCATTTTAGGAGTCTGGGATTTAAGGCTTCCTGAAAATCTCCTCAAGACCTACCAAGTAGTACTGTATTAAATGTATTAACTGTGAGTCAGCTGCCATTTTGAGAGGAGCACAGAGACACCTGTAACCATAAATCTAACTCTGAACAAAATCAGTGCCTCTCATTTGACTTTCTGTGCAAGTACAAAGCTGACTACTTGCTTTTGTCTGTGTTGTCTTTCACACCACTTCCTCAGTGCAGGCAGTGCCTCTGCCTTAGACTGTCACAGTCACAACCCAATCACTTCAAATTAATGGCAAAGCCCCCGGGGTTCCACCTTTCCACCAGGACTTTCACAGAAGTTGAAGCAGCACACAGTAAGGCCCAGCACTCCCAGGGGTCAGCAGGATAAGCCAGCAATTCTACCTCATACCATACAAGCCCCAGAATTTTTCAGAAGCAGAGGGTGACCTGGGAGAATAGTCTTCAGACTATTCACTTCCAGGCCACAGGTTCCAATCAGAACCAGATCACAGTGACTGAAAAACCATCCTCATGTGCTGCAGCCCCTGATGAATGATTCCCTGCAAAGCAGGTTCATGTAACCCCTTTCTGCTCATTCCTAGGCTGGATTTCGTCCCTGACATGCTCTGGGACCAGCCCTTCTGTGAGGAGCAGCTGCACACCGGGCACCAGCACCAGTCCTGCCATCCTCTCACTCCACTCCCATGGGACTGTCCCCTGCCAGCCCAGTGCCCTCGGTGCCTGCTGCACAGCACAGGCCTGCCACCAGACGTGGCTCCAGCTGCTGCTGGCACAAGTCCCAGGGGAGCTGAACACACTGTTTGGGAACTGCTCACTCATCTATTGCAGTGAAACAAGTCTACCTTGCAGAAATGAGCATGATATTCCCCCTGGGCACTGCACTTGTGCCTTGTGTCAGTAAGCACAAAGATACCTGACACCCCTCAGCACTTGCTGGCAGGACTTGTTCTCCCACAGCAGGAGATGTACAGGGGGAGGGCACAAACACACCCCCCCTTCCTTTCAGTGCATTTCTGAACACCCCTTGGCACAGCAGCTCTGCTCCTGCTAGGCACAGCCCACTCTTCAAACTGACAAAAGAAACTCTCCCTTCCTGCCCCAGACATGGGGCTCTAGCAGGTGACTGAAGACAGACAGGCAGCCCATTAAACAGCCTGAGGAGGACAAGAAAACCAAAGGCTGTTTTACTGCAGCCCAGAGCTGCCCCTAAATGTGCACATGCCACCCCAGAGAGCAGAAGTGCCAGGAGTGACCCTCTGCCAGGGACACAACCCTTTGTCACCTGGGACACGGCCTTCTGTGACCTGGGACACTGCTCTTTGTCACCTGGGACATGGCCCTCCACGGCCTGACCACACAAGCCCTGGCAGAGTGGGACTGAGGACCAGGTGTGAACTTACGTGTATCAATGGTCTCCTGGATGGGCATGAAGCCCACAGGCAAAGTGTCCTTGATATCAATGAGCTTCATGTCGACCAAGACGTTGCCTAAATGACTCTGTGGAGAGAGAAAAGAAGCAGTTGGTTATGACAATGTCACCACATTAAACCCCAGATCTTCCCACCTGCTGAAGCCTGAGATGCCTTCTCATTGTATCTGACCACAGCTTAGAAATGATAAGAACGTACCAAGGCAACCCTTGCATGTGTCCTCTCAGCAGGAACCAAACCATGACTGACTAGGAGATACCAGACAACTTTCAGCATTTCAAATTCTAACACCTCATCCACTGCCATGTTTCCAGATCTTTGGAAGCACAGCCAAATTCTTTCTTTTGTAGGCACAGCAGCTTGAAGTACTAATTCCACCAACCCATCCACTGAGCAGGTCACCTCAGTTCTTACACACTCTACAGTTACAAGCGCAACATGGCATTTCCATGACAGTAACAGCAAAAAGCATTACAGGATGATGGCTTATGCACACAGAGCCAAAGTTATTACATGCATTAGCTAATTAGTGCTGAATAGACAGGGTTCTAGCTCCAAATGCAGTGCACTCCAGAAGCACAGGCCATTTGGAACAACAAACTTCATTTAGAGTCCATATGAATTCTGAGCTCATGCCTTGTCCTATTAATCAAGGCTTGAAGAGCTCAGAGCCCAATTCAGAGTGACAGCCTCCACAATGGTTCAGAGACCAGATTTTCTTTGCAGTTTTCAATAAAACCAGCGCTGCTGCCAATAATCTGGGGTCACATATGAAAGAACACATTTTAGGTACTGCACAGCCTTTATAAACAGAAACACAACACAGAACAATTAAAATTTAATCCCAAGACATCAAACTGTGTCATTGAGTTTTACTGTTACTGCTTGCAAAGTACCTCCTTTAGTTTTTATCTGGCAAGAGTTTCTCAGACAAACCTGCGCTCTGATTATTTCACTGAACTTCTTCCAAAATATTTACATTTGCAGGCTGTGAAATAAGGGGAGGTCAGGTGTGAGTTTATTTTTGCGAGGTCCTGCATTTTATGGTCAGCTCCCCACCAGAAGGGCCAGCAGACTGCAGCCCTGTCCCACCAGACACAAGTGTGGCACACATCCCCTGCTCTGTGAAGAGGCCAAAGCCAGGCAGCCCCCCATGCCTCTGACTGTCCATGTCCAGGGCATCTTGGAGCAAGCAATGCTGGATGCTGCCAAGCCTGAATGTGTCACTTAACATGCTCCTGGCACAGCAAACAGCAGACGAAGTAGTTGCTGCTGATTCATCTTTCATGTTTTATTTATTTAAGCTGTCTGTGTGTTACATCAGTGGCAACTTTCTGCTGAACCACCGACTGCTCCTCAATCAGCAGCAGACAGGCAGCAGAGGTGTCTCCAATGAGCCCTGGGAGTCAGCTCTGCCATGTGCACAGCAGAAAAGGGGACAAAGCCCCCCAGCTATGGCCCCACCATCCAGGGCCTCCCCACATCAGATACAGCAATGTCAGATGCTGTGAACTGCTGAGAAGGATGATTCTGCAGAACAGGCACTGCAGACTGACTCTGCCCTAACCCAGATACCTGAAGTGCATTAACTCTACTAACTATAACATTGTTCTTCAGGAGAAAAGAGTTCCCAGCATTTTGATAAACACAAAAGGAAACCCCGAATGGTAAAACTTCCAACCCAAAGAGCAGCAACACATCAGTGTCCAGGGGAGAGAGAGGAGCCTCTCACCTCCCTTCCTCCCAGATGAGGGAACTCAGGCCCCGTAGCCCCCCAATGCCCCCAACAGGGAAGCACATCATATATCCCATGTGGCCAAGAGGACTGAGGGAAGGGGGAACTTTTGCTTTAATTTATGCCTCATCAATATGAAGAAGGTACTTCCAAACCATGGTGACCCCAGGGCTCCTGCCAAAATCCAACAGGCACCTCCTGAGGGTATTTACACCATCTCTGCAGCCAGCTGCTGCTCCTGTCCTGGAATTATTTCTGACAACTTTACATAGTTGTAGTTACAACCTGTAGTTGTACAGGTAGCCACAAGGTATTTACACCATCTCTGCAGCCAGCTGCTGCTCCTGTCCTGTAATTATTTCTGACAACTTTACATTTCAGGTAGCCACAGATAAACCTAATACTCAAATCAGCACAAACCTATTTAATAGCCTTCCTGCCCATGTGGCCAAGAGGACTGAGGGAAGGGGGAACTTTTGCTTTAATTTATGCCTCATCAATATGAAGAAGGTACTTCCAAACCATGGTGACCCCAGGGCTCCTGCCAAAATCCAACAGGCACCTCCTGAGGGTATTTACACCATCTCTGCAGCCAGCTGCTGCTCCTGTCCTGGAATTATTTCTGACAACTTTACATAGTTGTAGTTACAACCTGTAGTTGTACAGGTAGCCACAAATAAACCTAATACTCAAATCAGCACAAACCTATCTAATAGCCTTCCTGCCTATTCCAGGGCTGCTATTCCTGCAACTGCACATACTTCAGGATGAAAAGCACAATTATTGTCCATCCACCCAAGGAAGTGGTATTTCCCATAGCTCTGCAGCTTTACTTTAATCTGGATGCAGGCAGGGAAGCAGATGGAATAAAGGTCAAATGCTGGGAACTGGAAACCCCCAGCTCTACTGCCAGGACCCGTGGGCAGCCCCTGGAGCTGCCATCACTTTTCAGTTCCCGTCACAGTGAGAGCACAAGTACAAAATGGTACTTCCAGACCCTGCCAGCTGAGTGGCCGAGAATATCCAAAGCACGACCAAAAGCAGGATTACCCACTAGATGGAGTGCATTCATTGCAGAAGTCAACAGTTCCTCCAGAAAAAAGAAAGTTTTCGCAGTAGCCTCAACCAAAACCACGGCAGAATGCATGAAGCTCTTGCTGCACACGGTCTCCTCTCCTCCACAGAAAGTGTGGGCAGACAACTGCTGCTAATCACGAAGTAACTCATACTTAATAGTCAGACCAGATTACAAGAATGTGGTAGCATATGCACAACGTGGGCACATTTTCAAGAATCAGCACCAAAACCAACAAAGCAAGCAAGCTAATCCTGCAATAAAATATCTGTGATGGCCCTGGATTCAGAAACCAACATTTCCTTCAGCACCACTACCTACACTGTTTGTTTCTTGAGGAATTTGGGTTAGACATCAATCAGGACCATGAGTGTGCAGCACTCATTGCTGCAGCAGGTAATGAGGGTGAGAGGCTGCTAAAATGCAAACACTCCCTTTTGTGCTTCTTTCATTGCAGAAGATTTTGTCAGCAATTTCTTTCCATGAGAAACACTCACAAAATGCAAACATTCTGCCATTGCACTTTGCCTCCTTACTCACCCGAACTCAGTGAAACCCTGCTTGAATTATAATTGGCTCCATAAAATGAATCATCGTATGGGTAAGCACATACCAGGCACAGACGCAAATCATGCAGACACTCAACAAATGGACTTACATTTTCTTTCGAAAATGACCTGGTGAAGCACAGGTACCGTGTGACCTTGGATTTAAACAAGCCATCTTTCCACAGGTCAGCATCCAAGCCATCTGCTGTTTGTGCAACCTGCAAAGAAGAGACAGAAGAAGAGAGGAGACATGTGAGCCAAGATAAAGTTAATACATGTGCAGTACTTCTTCCTCAGACCTCTCCTAATTAACAGCAGCCCAAACTTTCACAGCATCTCATTAGTTTCTTCACAAGGTGCAGTGGAAAGAATTTTCAAGAGGAGGTATAAAAAGAAGTTCTAAATATGCTGTCTCTCAGGAGACCCTTGATTAAAGATGCTCCGACAAAAGCTACTCTAATGAGGAAACTGCAACTTCAGTTACAGTCTCCAAACAATAGTTTGGAAAAGTCAGCACATTGAGGCATTCATTACCACCCTACACACAAGGGCACACCGGGCGTGCTGTGAGGGTCCCTGGAGACAGAGCACAGAAACTGACCCATCTCAGGACTGTTTTCATGGAAAGCCATCAAGGAACTCTGGCTCCCAGGGCAAAAAGCTGCTCCCAAGCAGGCTGGGGAATCCCTGCCACTGGTGGATTTGAGCAGCAGTGCTGCATGCAAGGACACACCCCACAGATGTCCCTCCAATGCAACCCCACATCCAGCCAAACCGATACCACATGATGGTGCTGGGTGAGGAAACAGACCCTGCACCCTCCACAGGAGAGACAGCAAGATGTGCAGGAGAAAATCTCACTTCCAGCTGATTCAAGGAGTGGGCAGGAGGCAGCACCACGCACTGGGGAAGGGCTCTGCTCTCAGCAGCTGAGCACTCACCACACAAAGGGCAAGCTGGTAAGAGCCCTGGCCCCAAAATGTTTGATGTCGAGTAAGAGAGGAGGCAAGAGGCAAACACGAGAAGGGCAGAAGAAACAAGACTACCCCATCAGACTAACACCCAACTGGCGTCTCCAACAGGAGACTCCAGCACGGTCTGAAGCTCCACAGAAGCTGAACTTCTGCCTAATGCCTCTCAGACAGGGCAAACTGCTCCAGGCAGCTCTTGTAATCACACTGAGCGAGCCCTTGGCCCCAGAGCAGCCTGGTAACAAAGAGCTGGCACTTGTCACCTTTGCACCCATGTTTAGCTGAGCAGAGACACACTGGGCACAGGAAGCAAGAGCTGTGTGCTGACAAGGCCTCCACTCACCCCGAGTGCAGCAGACAGACAAGAGACAGTCTGATCAGAGCAGCAAAGTGCACTCACTGCTCCCTGAATTTCGGCAACTGCTGCTCACAAGCCCCAGCTCAGGTCAAGCCATTGTACAGCAACACAGCTTTTGTGTTCAGGCTCTGCAAAGAAACATGCCTGATCTTTAAACAGCCACATTTTAGAATAGGATTTTGGCAAAATGTTTTGCTTATTTGAATTCTTTGAATTCAAATCTTTCCTGTTAGTTTAGGAATATGTAAAATCTACATGCATCTTCCTCTATCATGGGTAAGTCAGTCCTGGTGAAAAGATATCCAGGAAACAGTCTGTTTGGGAAAACTGCTGGCATATAAGGATGGTCAGCTTGAACTCCAAGCCAGGAGAATGCAAGCATGAATGAACTTGTCAGAAAACTCACGGGAAAGAAAACTGAGCCCTATAAACAGGAAACTTCTTGCATCACCTGCTGGGCTCCTGCAAGCAAGGAGAAGCCCCAGCAAATCTCAAAGCAGAGCTCTGCCTGATCAGCATGCCCCCAGGACAGGAGCCAAGTGGGAAAGGGCACAGCAGACCTGGCCAGCAGGACAGGCACTCTAGAGCACCAGCTTGCCCAGTCTTTCCTTGGCTGAGAGGCAAGGAACGTGCGAGACGGAGGATCTGGCACCTGGCACTCAGCACACGGTGCCCTGGGCACCAGGAATGGTGCTTCTCCTCATCAGGCTGGGGGAGACACTCCTCACTGTGTGCTACAAACAGATGGACCTGACAGAGTGACCCCCAGCACACACAGGGTGATCTACCTGCTGCACAGCAGTCACAATGGGGTTACTGCACCACAGCCAGGCCTTTGGCAATGGGTCCTTTAAATCCCCTGCCCCACAGGGTGATCTGCCCCTCTGGCAAAGTCAGGGCTGTCCTGCTGGCTCTGCAGCTTGCTCAGGCACTGCCCCGGAGCAAACCCCACCATGGAGCTGGTGCTCAGCCTGCAGCAAAGAACACAGCTGCACAGGAACCACACCTCCCTCCTGTCCCAGGCTCCTGCCCCCCACCTCTCCTCCTCACCCAGACACAGTCTTGCCAGTTCGGTTGGATTTTCAGGAATCTAAGTTCAGACACTGTATATTTTGGCAAAATCAAGTCCTTGGTGCTTTGCTGTGAGAAGGCCTGTGACATCACATGGCCCCTCGACAGCAGGTGCTGCAGAGGGGACAGCACACCAAGGGTGGCTGGCAGCACCAGGCACACTGCTGAGGTGGAAAGCTGATGTGGCAGCCGTGCTGGGGAAGGACAGCAGACAGCAGGCACTGCCCCACGCCTGCTCCAAGGGCAGACAGTGCTCCTCGTGAGCAGACAGGGAGGCTGCAGAGCCAGAGCAAAGGCAGCTCCTCGCTGAGCCCTGAGGAGACAGCGACCCACATCCACCAGCATTACACCACCACCATAATTGGATTACGCCACAGGAAGACTCTTTTATCTTGTTTAGTTTAAAGTGCGCTAGCGCTGCAACTCCCCATTAAGCCACAGGCAGGCTATCTGGGGTGAGTGTGCTCTCTGCCCAGCCATTTAGGCAAAATGCAATTCTGTTATCAGAAGCCTCACACTGTCCCGTGCTTCTTTATCAGGGCAAGCAGCTAATTACACAGCCTGGCTCACACAGGTAATGAGCACTCGGAAAAACACAGTAAATGTAAAAACCTCCCAGGTCTTTAAGGAGCCTTTTCACAATGCCCCCCTTGTGTCCTTACTTCAGCCTGATCCATTTTGTTTCTTCACATGGAACAAGGTATGAAATCATCCAGGGCTGAAGAGGCGTGAGCAAAGCCCCAAGTCAGCTGGCTTCCACTCCTACCACACAAGCTGTGTGGCTCTGGAAACCCAAGGTGTGATGTAGCACAGTTGGAGCAGATGAACTACAGTCCACATCTTTCTCTATAGATCTCTGCAGGGTCAGTATTTTATACTTCACAGTTTGGGACACTGATCTATGAGCAGAAACATCCTGCAGTTGGTTACACAGCAACTAATCCAAGGAACAAGCAGCTGTTGAACAGCGACCTCCCTTTATCTGTTCACACATTCATCTACGCTGTATCCTGCTGCCAGTCTCCTGCCAAATCTTAGTTTAGAGGTTTGCATTCTGCCTGTCAAAATCATCCTTGCAATTTCAGCTGGATGCAAAACTGTTTGATTCCCTTTCTGGAGCTTCTCATCATCACTGTGCAGTGCTGATAATGTGGGACTGAACAGCTGATGTGGGATCCATTTATTTAGAGATATAATTTGTACAATACTTAGGGCTCCTTCAGGATGAATGTTACTAGGATTATTAAATTTGCTTGCCATAGTGGCCAGCTGTTTCAGTAAACCCCTCCTGCAGGAAATTAAGCTCCTCTGGAGTGGCAAAGATGAAGTGGCACATTTGCACCCACAACCCTCTGCTGAAGGAAAGCACTAAGCGCTGGGGCTGAAAGGTGGGCACCAAACGACTCCTGCCAGCCCAGCTCAAAGGCATGTTCCCTGGAAGAGTGCTGCTCCCAACACAGCAAAGCACGAAGTGCAGCAGCCCTACTCACCACGTCGTATCCAGTGGGCGCGCGGCTGCGGGACGCCAGCACGCCGACGCCTGTGATGGGATCCATGGGCAGCTCGGGCAGCGCCTCCGCGAGGTCTCGCACCTCAGGCATCGTGCACTGATCCTGCAAGAAAGCAGCAGAATTAAAGGGCTGCGGGGCACCACGCCCCAGCAGAAGCCAGAGAACCAAGAGCACACATGCATGCCACAGTGCCTGTGCTGACACACCACAGACGGCCAAGGTAAACACAGGATTAGGCCAGACACACCTTCTGCACTTTCATTTGCTTTTGATAAGAGGGTATACTTGTGCAATGCCAAATAGGTTTGAAATTTGGGCTGGCAGCCTTTGAGACTCATTTTGTTGCTTCCATGGGCTGGTCTCCATCTAGCAATGACAGGAAAACCAAAGCTCAATCCCTTCTCTTCCAAAAAGAGAACAAATTTCATCCCCAAGTCAGGCTGGTTGAAGCAGCTCTGTCATTTTAAACAGCAAGAAATCTGCTCCTAATGGCTTTAGGGGGAGGTTCCCCATCCATGATGGGTGTTAAGACATGCTGGGGGGTTCCCCATGAGTCCTCAGTCCCATCACATCCCCGTCAGCCAGACTGATTTCAAGGAGCAGCACAGATGTCTCTGGCGCTGGAACCGCACTGGCTGCAGGGAGCCTCAACACCAGGGAACACAGAGGAAGCACAGGGTGGGCTGGCACGAAGCAGAGAGGCCTTGAGGAGGCTCGAGCATCTTCCAGAAGAGACACATCACCAAGAACGTCAAGGGAGGGAGATATGCAAAAAGGACAGAAGCAGGTAATACCAACTACTTTCCAAGGGATGCTGCTGCAGGAAGCAGGAGAGGACAAGAAAGGGGCTGAAACAACCGAGGTGAAGGATGGGGAAAGGTGCCACTGCCTCAGCGTGTGGTCTCCTGCAGAGGCAGCCAGTTAAAGCATCTCTGGCTTTCAGGCAGGAATGCCCCAGGAAATCGCCCCCCACACACCCCAAGACAAAGGGCAGTGCTTTGTGTAAACAAGCATCAGTGCTGCACAGCCAGACAAGCCGTGAACCAGAGCTGCCTAATTCAATTCCCTCCTCAGAGCAATCAAACCCCAGCATTTCTAGGCCATTTGGATGGCTGGTTACTTACTGCTTCTAGAAAAGGCAGAGGTGAGTACTGGTGCCAGTGGAATTGGGTTTACACTTCACAATGCCCAGTCTGAACAAACATCGTGCTGCAGACAATAAAAAAGAGCAAGTCTGGGCCCTAAGTAAAGAATAATAATGTCACATGAACAGCCAGACTACTTGAGGAGTCCAAAACAGGTGCTAGTGACCAGTAGTGGTGCAAACACTATTGCTGATGCACCAAACAGGAGAGAGCTCTGCTTTAGCACCGGTGTGCTGGACACGCATGCAGCACAGAGCAAAGCAAACCTGCTTCACTCCCAAAGCTGCTCAAACCTTCGAGCGTGATGGCAAGTGCAGCCTGAGCCCAGGGGCTGCCGCTCCTCTCCCAGCAGGCTCTGTGTCCTAAGGGTGGGCAGGAGGAGCACAGGACCTTGCAGCAGGAATGCTGGAGGCACTGGCACAGCCGTGACAGACCCTGTGCCAATGCCTGTGCCACCCCACAGCTCATCCAGAGCCTCGCATAGAATGCAGAACCTCAAACATACAGCGTGGAAGAACATAACATGAGTTTAACAAGGAGCTTACGATCTCTTCTTCAAGAACGTTTTCTGAAACTTCTTCAAGCCACTCAATAGTGCTGTGAGTTCTTACTACACATGGGGAGGAGCTGGGAGGTAATGAATGCTGACGTAAGCTTCTCTTAGGCCATTTTGAACTGAAATCCAGGTAAGCAATGATATTCCCCAGCGTGTTAAGAACACCACCCGGCAGGCTCCCACACAGCTGCAGCGGCACTGCAGGGAGGCAGATCTGCTCACACGGTGCCAACACGCCCTGATGAAGTGGCTGCTGCTGAGCGCTGCCCAGGACCCGTCTCACCTCGCTGGGGCCTGCTGCAGGGAGACCCAGCTGCCCCAGCAGGAACCTGAGCAGCTGCCAGCCCAGCCTGGGCAAGGCTGAGGACAAGGGGGTCCCAGCACCAGCACAGGAGCAGGGGTGGGTGCTCCAACCCGCAGTGTGGTGCCTCCCCCTCCTGCTGGCACCCTGTCCTCAGCCAAGGAAGAAGGGCACCTTTGTGGGAGCCATTTGCAGCCCTGCTCAGGGCAGGGGGAGGGGACACGGCATCAATCCTCACTTTGTGCCGGCTCACACAAAGCCCCTCTATGGCGGCAGCGCTGGGCGTGGGGCTGTCTGCCTGGCCGTGCTGGATCCACGGGGTAATGAGGCACAGCACGGGCACAGGGCCCCGAGCAGACCTGCTGCACCAGCTGCCCCTGCCCAGCGAGCCCAGCACTTCCTCTGCCCCGTGCCACCCACAGGGATGGCAGGCACAGCTCCTGCCCAGCAAGCAAGCCTGCTGTGGCCACTGCAGCACGGCCAGGCCACACCAGGCAGTCACTCTGGGCAGCTGCCTGCTGTGCAGGCGACACTGAGGATGCATCTGGAACAGATATGGAGCAGCAGAAGTCAGCTGCACACTGGCATAAATGTTTTTGTGAACTCTGCCCAGGTCAGAGGGGAGTCTCTGGCTGGACAATCACAGATGATTAGTTACACTGCACTTCTCTGTGAGAGCATCAACAAAGTTTGGATTCTCTTCTATTGTGCCTTTTAAATTAAAAATGAAAAAATAGTCAAAGAGGAGATTAAATTAAGGAGCAGGATTCTATAAATGCCTCTATTAGGCAGCTTGTTATTTTAATTCTCTTTAGCAACGTGAGTTTGACCTGCATGCCCACCTACCATCACAGTGGCCAAGCACTCAGCCCAGGATATGTCCCTCAGCATCCTGCAGCAAGCTGCCTGTGCCCACCCACTCACTGCAGGGCTATTCCGGGAACAGGCCAAACAATGAGAAGAACATGTTTCCCTTTAGCTGGGAGCATGCTCCCTGGAAGCTGTTCTCAGCTGTGGGGCCGCATCCAGTCCCCAGCACACCCCAGCAGCCAAAGGAAGCAGGATGTGAGCTCTGGGGCAGGAAGAAGCTCCAGAGCACTGTGGGGCTGCCCAGACAAAGCCAGTGGGGAAAGAATGTGTCTCTAAGGAGAAAGTCCCTGTGCCTCCTGGCAGCCCCAAGCAGCACGCAGCAGAGCAGGGTGGGATGGCTGCAGGACAAGATGGACAGGATGCACTCTTGGACAAGCAGCCACCATGCTGCTGGCTCTGTCCCGAATGCTTCCCAACCCTCAAACCACTGCCTCAAGGCAGGAGGCACAGTGTCCCCGGGATCCTGATGACCAGTCTTCTGGGACTCCACCGGTCTCTGGCACAGCCTTCTTCCCACAACCCATGCCCACAGTCACACACACCTCCCTGTCTGCCAGCACTGCCGAGCTCGGCTGTTTATAGCCTTTTTGCTTGTTCTCTCCATTTCCTTGTTAGCTCATCCGCCTTTATTAGTTTATCCTAGGCATACTTTTCTGCTGGCTCCACTGAGGTGACTGACCACACACACGGCTGGGCTTGGCTGGGACATACGTACAGCAGAAGAACCCGCTTTCAGAAATGAACGCGTTATTGTCAGTTTCTAGACCATTTTCTGCTCTCAGTGCTCCTTTTCAACAAGTTCAGCAAGTTCAAGAGCTGGTGGGTACATGACCAGATCAGACCTTTCAACGTGTTTGCTACAGAAACATCATGCTGCCAGCAAAGCGGGTCAAGCTCTGAAGTTAAATAGCCAGGGACTTAGACGGAGAATGGTGTTATTGTTTCTTCCTCCAACTACAAGCCCTGCACTTTGACACTGCCTTGCTCTTCCCACAGGCAGAAAAGTATGAGCTAAGGAAAAACTGGAAAAAAACCCAACCACCTCACTGCATCGCTGCAGCCTGTGGGAAATGGTGCCACAAACCAAGCAGACAGCGCTCAGAGGCTGCCCTCCATCCCTGCAGGAAGGGATGCTGGCACAGCGCTCCCGCACGCCGGACACGGCCCCAGCCAGCCTGCTATTTCTGCTCATGGAACATCATCGTCTCCATGAGAAAAACAGGAACCCGCAGCGGCAGCCAGCATCGCGGCCTTGCAGGCCACCATCACAAACAGGAAGGATTTCAGTTTCACATTTCACCACCACCGAAGGCATGCCTGGAATCACCCCGGCACACAGGCTCCCTTAGGAGACAGTTGCCCTGCACCAGCTGCAAAATCTATATTTTGTGACTGAATGGGATGGAAACAGGAACTTAAGTGACAGAATGAGCAAAATCGAGACCCCGTATTGCTTCACAGCACTTCTAACTATGGACACACATTTCTGAAGTGTCCTGCTTCAAACTAGAACAGGTTTCCATACACACATGACCTTGCACCAGGGCAGCAAAACTGAAATGACATTCCGTTCAGTTGGCAGAGATATGAACAGGTCCCTGTAGCTACCAGCACCCTCAAGCCTGGTATTTGCTTTGTCAGAGATGCACAAGAGTGGTACAAGAGTGAGATGTCTGTTTTATCCCACACCTCCAGAAGTCAAGTCATGCCTTCATCTAGAAGGGAAGGCCATCTCAGCTAAAAATTATAGGGATGATGCTGCCAATCTGCTGAACAACACATAGGCTCCCTTAAAGAATAGATGAGCACATTCTCACTCAGTTAAAATAAAATACAAAATGGAGCAAGCCAAGCTTTAGCCCGAGCAGCTGCACACCTGCTGATACCCGGCCTGTCTGGTTTCAGTGTTACTGCGACCAAGCTGAGAATGACCCAGCTCTGGGAACCTGCAGACAACACTGAAGACTGGTGGACCTTTGAAAACCGCTCCAGAAACCTCAGAGAAAGCTTGTAAGCCCTCCGTGATGCAAGGCACGAGTACTGAAGACACAGGCACCTCTGTGTCGCTGCTCCAGCCAGGCTGTAAGAAGCCGGCTGTGCCCCACCTCCAGCCATGCACTGAGCACAGGTATGAATCGGGCAGGTAGGCCCGTGCTACCAACAGAAGAAAAGACCACATGAATCAGAGGGGGGTTTGTTATTTCCTCTACCCGTCATCAAGCAGAATTTACAGTAAATGCCGGCGCAGGTCAAGGTCACCGGGGTGTACCCAAGGCTGGTACCCGAGGCCGCTGCTGCAGCCTCCCCAGCCTCGCAGGAGCCGCCGGGTCTCACGGAGGCCAGCGGGGCGCTCCAGCCCCGGCCCAGGCGCGAGGTCCCCGCCACGGCCGGCCCGGCACCCGGCCCCGCCCGCCGCCCCGGGCACCGGGCTCGGCCCCGTCACGGCCCGCGGGGCCCCGCGCCGCACCTCGCCAGACCGCCCTTCCTCGGGAACGGGGCAGTGCCCAGCTCCGAGCAGCCTCCCGAGCCGCGGCACACGGGAGGTGCCAGGTGGAGCGGCTGAGCGGTTGTGATTTGGACAATGTAACCTTCTTCCTTCTGAAACCGGCTGCGTCCAGAAGATGGGCAGCCGCTGCTGTGGGCTGAGGAAGGCAAATGGTGTCAAACAAGCCGGTTATCTTCCCAAGAAGTCCCTGAGGTTGGGAGGGATGAGCGGTTTCAGGACCTACCTTCAATTCATTAAGACATTTGATGCTCTGTCTCCCTATGGCCTGGAAAACAAAGATATGGTCCAAAGCAGTCAGGGCTTGCCCGGCCGGCTGGGTGACCAGCAGCCTTCGGGTCCGCTCACAGCACAGCAAACATCCTGAGCAGAGGGACTGCAAAGGTCTGCTTCTGCTCAACCTCAGCACGTGCCAGTGTCGAAACTGACACCACACTCATTGAAACTGGCAGATGATGTGAATCGCAGCGCACCGTGGCACAGCAGCGTGGTCCGCAGCCATCGTTACACGAACCAGTCCTGCAGCTGTCCTGCGCTGCCTTTTGAGCGCCTTACCTGAGGCAAGGTCAACAGCAACCGTCTGGAGAGCAGCAAGATGGGTGTGGGGCTGACATCGGGTGCAAGACCGGGAGACGTTAATGTGTATGTGAATTAAAGCAAGGGCAGAAACCTGTTCCCCTTTGTGAGAGGCTGAGAAGTGATGTGTGTGAAATGCAGCAAGGGATTCTGTAAAGATAACAATGAAAACTACAATACCAAAGAGTTAACAACAGCTTGGAGAATTGACAATTGGTCAAGTCCCGAGCCATCCCGAAAGGTCTTATCAGACATTATTCAGTCATTCCTTCGGAGCAGATGGTCTCCCCCATCCTTTGTAGAGCTGGTTGACTCTATTTTCCATGACGCCAGAGTTTTCTTTGTGTGGGGAACACGGCCTTTGTGACTTAGAAGAGAAGGATCTCGCTCAGACACTCAAATTTCCTCCCTTTGATTAAATCGGGTCTCACATGGCAGGGTGCATTTATCAGAGAGTCCATCTCCATGGTCACAGGGTGTTTCCTTGTCTGATATTCTGCCTTTAACTAAAATACGAATTCCCCCCCCCCCTTTTTTTTTCCTTCCCTCCCCCATTGTCTTTTTGCTTGATTTGGCCATCTTTTGGGGAGTTCTGTTCAGCCTGTTCTTTTCTCGCCTGGGTAATGGTTTGTGCCTTCCATCCTGTTTGGAGTGTCTCTGCATGGCTTTAGCCAGTCTGAGCCGAGCCGAGCAGGAGTGGCTGAGCCCACAGCCCTTCTCTCTCCTTCCGTGGGTGTCTCCAGCTGGTTTGGCACCTCTCTGGCTCTCTCTGAGGTGGACAGGAGCTCGCTGACCACTGGCCCAGCCAGGACTGGCAGTAGGTGCTGAGGGCCAGGGGAGCTCTTGGCTTTGATCCTCAGGGCTGTTTCAGCTCCCTGCTCTTCATCCTGCTGTGGTCAGACTTCCTACCAAGCAAAACACCGTGAGCTGTGATTAGTCAGTGTTTGAGAGGTTTGTTTGGAAGGCAACATACGCATTAGTGGTTTTGTGTTCCTGTCCATAAAGCAAACAACAGAAACTGGAGTCCTGCTCCATCCTGGACACAACCCTGGGCTGGGACAAGCCTTCCTCCTGTCCTGAGTGCTGCTTCTCTCCAGTAAAGCATTTTAGGCTGGTGCTGGCTGAATTGTGGTAATAGGTGTTTTGGACAGCGTTCCCTCCCTGTTTGACCAAGGCTCTCTGGCTCTTACTGAGTGCAGCCCTGATGGCTGTGAGTGGCTTCTGCAGCCAAAGATTCAAAAAGATATATATATATATATTTTAGCGATAAGGAATACAATGCATTTTTTTTTATTTGGAGAGTAATTTAGAGAAGAGAAAAGATGATGCCTGGTGGAAATGAGAAATATATGTCCCATACATAATATATGCCCCAAATGTCCTATTACAAATACAAGAAGATTTCCTGAACTGGAGAAGTTGTTACACATTACAGTGTGCTAATGCTCCCCCATGGAGATGCTGATACTGAGAGAGTCTTTAGTGTAATAATATTAAAAATCCGAGAGTTTCAATAAGATCCTCCCTGCTACCATGGTGGTAGGAAATGAATTGATTCCAAAGGAAGACTCTAATTGCTGCTTAGTATCCACAAAATATTCAAAGATTCACTGCAAGCATATATCCCAATGTGTCTGTGGCATGATCTGCAATAAGATGTTTTCCAGAGAGAGTCACTCCCCAGCACGGCTTGGCTGCTGCCCTCGGAGTGCCTGCAGCTGGACGGCAGCACAGGGCAGGGCAGTGCTGGCACCTCTGCCCGCAGGCACCTTTAAACCTGGGCAGCTTTGGGCTGGGAAAAGCCCCATTGTTCTCTTCCACGGGCACTGCACGGGCTCTGAATCAGCAAACACTGGCAGTTGGGTACATGAATCACAGCTACACTGGAGCTGGTTCATCTATCTGTGTAAAGTTACTCAAAAGCATAAATATTTGCAAGTATAATGCTTTCCTATGAATATTTTACATCCATCTTTTTCAAGATCCATTTATTTTCTCCTCTTTATTTCAGAACATGTCTTTTCTCACGAGTTCTGCAGTCCTGTACGTGCTGTCCAGTTCATACCAGTGTTGTCTTTTCAGGACACCTAATGGGGGGAATTTTGGTGCCATCCTCAGGGCTCACTACTGCCCACGGCGTAGCTTTGCACCTCACAGTGGTTTGCTGGCAGCATTTGTGGGGTGAACAGGGTGCCTGGGGAGCCAGTCCTCAGTGCTGGGCCACACGCCTGATTGCTGCCAGTGCTGGCTGTGGCCAGGTCCTGCCCACCAGGCTGCAGCTCCCTCTCCATGGGCAAAGCCAGGGCTGTGGCTGGCCATGCACGAGAGCAGGGCCCCTGTCCTGGCATCTCCAGCCCCAGAGCTCTTCAGAGCAGCCGTGTCCTCCTCAGTCAGAGGCTGGACCAAGATAGGAGACAGTGGTCGATCCCCACCACCCTCTTTGCATTTTGTAAAGATTCCAAGCATTTTGTAACAGCAAAATCTGTGCCCAGATACCACCTCTAAAGAATAACAGTGCACAGGGTTCTACACCTTCAGCTGAGAGCAGACAATGTACAGAGTCCTGTGGTTGCACAAGGATACTGGCCCAGGGCTGCTGCACATGCTTCCTCTAAAGAATAACAGTGCACAGGGTTCTACACCTTCAGCTGAGAGTCCTGTGGTTGCACAAGGACACTGGCCCAGGGCTGCTGCACATGCTTCTCCCAAGGGCAGCAGGAGCTGCCAGCAGGCCCTGGTCAGACCTCACCATCAGAAAGGATCCCAGTTTGCAGGGGGAAACAAGCTGTAAAGGATCCTGCATCTGCATCCTGCCTGTAAGCTAAAGTCCTTTAAAGCCCTTTGTGCTGCAGGAATTAATCTCTCCATAGTCACATTTAGCACAGTAGTGCAATAGTGCTGCACATTCCATGTTTTCCATGTTTGTCTTTGGAGGAAAATCAGCCCAGAGTTTCATTTCATGCTGGAGTTGCTGCAGGTCACAGCTCAGCTGCTCCCTGGATTTAAGGTTTCTTGAAGGTAGGATTAACCTGCTGCCTCTAATTTGGTGCACCAAAATATCTCTTTGCAGTCACAACTTCCCTTCTATATTTCTAGTTTGCACCCTGATTATTCTAAAAAATGTGAGGAGGTCCTAATCTCCTTTAACTCAGACACCCACTCTGAAACAGACGAAGCAGTTTTGAAAAAGCAGTTTCTTGGTCTATTTCCTATTAACTTTCCTATCCCATAGCTGTCACTAAGCACTACATGAGTTGTCACTTACGTGTTTCAGTTATGATGGACAGGACACCAATGTACAGCCATCCTGCCAGAGATAACTCATTTATGTAGCACCCAGTGGTGGCTTTGGCCAGGACAGGGCTGCAGCCCCTAAAGAGGTTCAGGGCATCCCTCACCTGAAGGGATAGTCCAGGAGGAGAGGCTGTCACAGCAGCCTCCACCTCAAGGGGAGCAGGGCCCAAAGCAGCCCGTGACCTGCCAGGGGGCACAGGCACTGGCACTGCTTAGTGGCACAGGGGTGAAATCTGGCCTCCTGATCCTGTTTCAAGGCCCCACAGGCAGGACCAGCCCCGTTTGTTCTGTGGAGACACCCTGGGACTGAGCACGACTGCTGTTCCACCAAATGGAGGGCAGAGAGAACGCCGTGTGGCTAATTACCAAGGAGAGCACGCATCCAGACCCTCAGATTATGAGTAATGGCCACAGCACGATGGAAACCTTTGCTTGAACAATTTTGAATGATGAACACATTTGAGGAAATAATGTTTTCTTTGCAGGCCTCCTCTGATGAAATGCTACTGCTTGCTTTGCTTTCTCTCTCGGGGTGGGTGCTGTCCCCACAGTGCCCAGCCACCCTCTGCTCACTGCCTGTCCATGGCCTTCCCTGTGGGTCCGGGCAGGGGACACCCACGGCGTGTCAGGGCTGCAAAGCTGCTGTCCCAGGAACAGGCTGGCAGCAGGCAGCATTCCAGTGCTGGGTGTTTGCACAAAGGAATGCCAGGGAGGCACTTAATAGGTGACCATTTGGCAGTGGTACTGGGAAGTTTGTCACAGCTCAGCTGCCTCTGTAAGGCTCTGTTTGGGTACAGCCCCTGCTCCATTTAGCTATGCATGACTCCCCCCTCCCTCCCCCTCCTGAAAGCAGGGCCACAGGCAGCACCTCTTGTTCCTCTTAAACCCAAAGAAGTAATTCACACCCTGGTTAAACTGCAGCAGGCAGGGATTTTGCACCCCTGTGTAGCCCCAAGCTGTCCCCCTGTGCAACAGCACCAGGTCAAGAGCACATTGAGTCCCTCCACAGCAATTCCCAGGCCAGCTGGCATCTTTAGGCACTGCTGTTTGGCTCCTTGGCTACTGCAGCTTGTGCATATTAGCACCCCAGCAAGCTTCCCATCCATCTGACAGGACCCGGTGTGGATAAGGATGCCAAAATCAGCCTAACTGGACAATTACTGTAGCACT